GTAGGAAACTTCCATAAACAAGATAGGTGACTTATAAAAATTAATATAGTATTAGGCTCAGGTGAAGAGGGAAAAAGGACTTTATGAATGAATAATAAAACACTGAAATCACTGTGGGAAAGTGGAAAAACAGAGCTTTGCAATAAGACAATCTGCATCTGAATCTTAACTCCATTTGCTTTACTTTCTTATCTTGATAAGACATTTAATCCCTCTGAGCCCAGAATAAAAAAAAAGAAAGAAAGAAAAGAGCCCATTTCATTTCCTTACATTGCTTGAGGAAGGGGACAGTCTTAACCATCTGTATTTCTAGCACCCAGAAAATAATATAAATGTCTATAAATGAGTTTTAAGTGAAAAATATCAAGATTCCTTTCTTCTTTTAAGAGTTATACAAATCACTTTATATTTTTAAGATTTCTTGCTTTTCCAATAATTTTCAGCTCCACACCTTAAATTATTTACAGTGTTCATGAATGGCTTGTGATTGACCAGGAATGGTAACGAATGCTTTTAATTTATCTTTGGTTTTTTTTTTTCCCCAAAAAGTCAAAAACAAGACACTTGACAGAAACTAACACACCATTGTAAAGCAATTATACTCCAATAAAGATGTTAAAAAACAAAACATAACAAGGCACTTGAAAAATGAGGGGTTTCGGGGGGTTTTTTTGGCCTCACTGCGTGACTTGCAGGGATCTTAGTTCCCCAACCAGGGACCAAACCCCACCCTTCACAGTGAAAGCGCTGAAAGTGCGGAGTCCTAACCACTGGACCACCAGGTAATTCCCCTTGAAAAATGAGGTTTCATACAAAAAGATTTAGACTCGTCCTGAACCACAATTCTACATCTAGCAGTAATCTGAATAATGATTATACCATTCAGGGGTCAAGGGAGATGTCTGTCATAGCACCACAACAGCCCTCCACCAGGGAGTAGCGATTTCTCACCTTCAAATAAAAAAACACGAGCCAAAATGATGGGGAAATCCTGGTACAACTATGCTGACCTCTGATTAAGTGACAGTGGAAAATAAGGATGGCAGCTCATCTTAGCACTTTTACAGAGATGAGAAGCTGTAAAAAAAAAACTAAGCATTATGTTTATGAGCCTTTCATTTTATTTCTATAAAGACCTACAGCTTTGCACACTCAATGACATTTAAATTATCTGATCATATCAAAGGGTAGTATCATATCAGAATCTCATTGTTCACACATCACTAATACGTGACATGCATTTTAATCCCCTTCCCCTCACAGCCATCATCCCACCCCTCTCTAGCAAAAACAGTTTTCAACTCTTCCCTCTTTCAGCTAAAGTTAGGACATCTATTCTTTTCTTAAAAGTCTCTGGGAATGGTCCACGGTTGTTTTCAGTTATTGGGAGAAATTGTCATAAAGAGCATGCTTATAAAAGTCCTGTAGCACATCACCTTACTGAAGGAAAAAGAGAAACATGAAAATATTTTCTGCCACTTACAAACACCGTACAATTTTTGCTTCCCATGGTTGAATGAAGAAGTTTGAAGAGTTTAGATGTCAGCCTCTGTTTCTTGGATCTAACTGTTTGGTATCAGATCCCATGGACAATGGAAATTTGCTAGATGTGTGTGGTTTTTGGTGATTCACACGCCAAACAAATGGGAGAAAAGGCATTAATTTTCCCAATATTCAGAATATTATCTCATTCCAAAAGAAATGTCACTTATAAACAGTACCTCCTCCTCCATTTTATGTTCTGCTGAACTTTTCTTTATGTACATCATTTGGTTACATAATTTGTGGCATGAGACAGACAGATGAAACAATGCTCAGCATTTTAACCAAAAGTAATATTCAGGGTGCTGGAAAATGAATCTTTACACAAAAGACACATCTAGTGTCAAAGTAAACTACTTATACAAATCCTAACAAAGGACAAATTTAATTTATAAGTGATTAGCTTGAACAAAACATTTAAAATTTCAAAACAAGTTACGCTACTTTAAGCACTGTTCATCAATGGATTTAAAAACCTTATAGTATTGGTCAAGTTTTGATATGCAGAGACAGCAAAGTGTACATAGGTGATTTATGCTTTCTATAACACTCAATCTTGGTTTGGAGTTTGAAAGCTAGGCTTTCTAAAATGCCTAATGTAATCTAAAATTCTAACGTAGCCTGAAATTCATGATATTCTAGGCCAGGCAAGTTGACCTCCTAAATAACGTGCTCAGACTTGTTTTAACTAGTAGTTTCTTAGTCTCTCGTAAACTACCATTTTTGTATTAGCTTGGGCTTCTTTATTACTAGAGATCTTCCTTTAGGCTTTAACGTTTTGTTACCTGTACTTCGGTATTTGTATAATAATTTCCTTCATTTTGCATTCAGTGGGAGCTATTCTATGGCTAACCTCATCTGCTTCAGGGTGATATAGAACAGCAGCTCCTGAGGTCCTCTTCTAGCTCTCATTTCGAAGACCTCTGAGTCACATACTACCGGGTATTGGCAACATCACCATGAGCTTCCCTGACTCCAAGGACTTCAATGACTCCAAGACAGGACAGAGTTGCTGACCTTTGGGTCCGTGTGTCCACATTCAACCATTCTTAGGTTGTTGTGTTATAAGTTTTCTGGAACTAAACATAAGATTTGTTACTGTTTCCTTTTGTTTTTAATGGAGTCTTTCTATCTGAATAAAATATCTGTTCTTCTAGGAATTATAGTATACAAGTTCTTCTGGAGCCATAAAAATATTAAGGCCATAAGTAATACACAAAAAGAATAAAAATTCAAGAGCTGTCTAAAATAACTAAGTTCAGAAATTCTATGGCATGGGACTTCCCTGGCGGTCCAGTGGTTAAGACTTTGCCTTCCAACGTGGGGGGTGTGGGTTTGATCCCTGGTTGGGGAGCTAAGATCCCACATGCTTTGGGGCCAAAAAACCAAAACATAAAGCAGAAGCAATATTGTAACAAATTCAATAAAAACTTTAAAAAAAAAAAGAAATTCTATAGCAAATCACAGCATCTGGAAAATGTATAATAATTGATATGATCTTTCATATACTGGCACATTCAATGAAGATAAACATAAAGGATGCAGCACAAATTAAAGATAAGAGATTAAAATGCAGATAATGGATAAGGCACAAATGTTTTTAAATTATTTCCTTTGTTATATCATGAATCTACTAAAACTCTACATCTACATAAATATTTACTACCTATAAAAATTCTTTTAGGAACTAGCACTACCAAGAGAAAAATGGAGACTGGTGATGAAATCTCAAAATACCTTTATAAAAAGAAAGACCTGTTGAAAATATTCAAAAAACTACAAATCTTGTATTAGGCCTATTAACTAAAACTACACAGTTTATAGTGAATCAGCATCTAATTTCTGTGGTAGGAAACAGAGTTAATCCATTCATGGAAATCCAGCACTGAACAGTACAAACAGTTGCCAAATTTCCCTACTGCTAATTTGGGCCAATGAGCATAAAACTTTAAAATTTTCTTTATAAGTGTTTTCTTTGGGGAGGAAATGCTAGAGAATACAAAGAAAAGACTGGAAGACAGGAGACAGAAACTTATAGAGCTATTTAAAAGGGGGTCAGCTGTACCTGTAATAAATACTAAAAATTTGCTCTGAAAAAGCGATACAGAAATAAAAAGCTGAAGTTAGTCTATCTTTACTTGAGGTTTTTAACCTTTCAGCATTAAAAAGAAGCATCTTAAGCAAACTAAAATGCCCAAACATTCAAAGCTGTTAAAATTCTCAAATAAACAAATTGCCCCATAGCTTGAGTTAAAGATCCACAAAAAAGCTGACATAATTTTTCAATAGAAATAAACAGCAAAGGTTATATCATATTTATTTATTATTATTGTTATTATTTTTTCTTTTTTTGTGGTACGCAGGCCTCTCACTGCCGTGGCCTCTCCCGTTGTGGAACACAGCCTCCAGACGTGCAGGCTCAGCGGCCATGGCTCACGGGCCCAGCTGCTCCGTGGCATGTGGGATCTTCCCGGACCGGGGCACGAACCCGCATCCCCTGCATCGGCAGGCGGACTCTCCACCACTGCGCCACCAGGGAAGCCCCATATTTATTATTTAGACTGACTTCCAAACTTTAATTAAAATTTCCTCCCAAAAAGGGAGAGGGAATACATATAAGGAAGTTGCTACTACTGAATAGCTAAAAGTAAAATAAAGCAACAATGAACAAATGTATTCTAAATAGCTACTATATAGACTACCAAATTAAAACTCATAATTGTAAAAATAATATTGTACATATTAATGCTAATTTTTATATGTAAAATAATCAGTTTTCTCTTTTAGGCAGCAATTACCCTCCAATATGGCCCTTACTCAGCTGAGCCAAAGGATGTAAGGGAGCTGCACCAGGATGTACATAAAGCTGATAAAACAGAATGCCAAAATTACAGAGGAAGGGTAAAGGAGAGAGAGGTGAGAAACAAAGTCCAGTGTCTTTTCATGTAGACCCAAAACTTCAAAGGAATGAAATTATAAATTATCAATCTAGTGATTTATTTATGATACTCAATCTAAGGCATTTCAGTAATCTTCATGGGTCAAATTAAAAGGTCAGACCCTTTTTAAGACCCCCTTTGGTAAAAAATATTATTTAATTTAGTAAATTAAATAGTAAATATTATTATCTCATCAGTGGGAGATAGAATTTTGCAAAACAAACTTTCCCTTCTCTGCCTTAAGCCTAGTCTCATTTTATGAACGAGATGCTATAAAAATGGTGCATTATTTATTTAGGGGAGAATGGGGAGAGGGGAATGGTGAATCCACCCTTTCAATCTATTTGCCTTCACAAGCTAGGATTCAGCATGTAAGATGAAATTCTATTCTACAGGGAATGGAAATTTTTTCTCTATTCACCTTAATATTTATCTGGACACGATTTTGAAAATCAGGGAATGAAGTCATATACTATGATACTGATAGTACTGGTGAGGTAATTAAGAAACTTAACTTACCATTTTTTAGGCTTTGATAAGGGTTTGTACTTGCTGTATTTTACACGCCACTCAAGAACTTCTTTACAACGCTGACATACTCCATCATGAAGTTTTGCATTAATTTTCTTAAAAAGAAACAGAAAAACAAATTGAGAATTTCACTTGTGAGCCAGCATTACAAACCCCAAAAGGTACATGAGAAATTTAAGGTTTTTTTAATTTTAATTTTATTTATTTTTATAAATTTATGTACTTTTGGCCGCGTTGGATCTTCGTTGCTGCGCGGCCTTTCTCTAGTTGCAGTGAGTGGGGGCTACTCCTTGTTCTGGTGCACGGGCTTCTCATTGCGGTGGCTACTCTTGTTGCAGAGCACGGGCTTTAGGCGTGTGGGTTTCAGCAGCTGTGGCACGCGGGCTCAGTAGTTGCAGCTCGCGGGCTCTAGATCACAGCCTCAGTAGTTGTGGCACGCGGGCTTAGTTGCTTCATGGCATGTGGGATCTTCCCAGACCAAGGCTCAAACCCATGTCCCCTGCATTGGCAGGCGGATTCTTAACCACTGCGCCACTAGGGAAGGCCTAAGTGTTTTTTTAAATAGCAACCTAACTTCAACCTGGGTTAACATTTTATGGTATACTATGTATTTTTATGTACATTATCAATTTGGCTCTTTACAAAGGCAAAGATCCTTAACTGGCTGTAGCTCAGAATCATCTAGGGAGATTTTTAATTTCCTGGAAGGAGTATTTTAAGCACATCCCCATTGATTCTGATGCATATTTATTTTACAACTCAAACTGTATAGTTAAGATATATGCATTTTACTGTATGTACGTTATATCTCAAAAAAAGGCAGTAATAAAAAAGAAAGTCTAATTCATATTTTAAGACTACTGTTTTGACAATTCAAATCTTACCACTGAGAAATGAGAAATTAAACTGAGAAATTAGACAGTCCTGAATTGTCAGTCTGCAGGGGACAGCAGAGACTAAGAAACTTGAGAAAGGAGAGCCAGGGAGAAGCAGCTGGAAGCAAGAAGGTATTTAATTATTCAATTTAAACCTTTTGTATTCTCATGTAAAGATGTCTTAGAAAAGTTACCTTGCTAACCTGGTTTCTTCAAAACAGAAAATAAATATGTGCATGTGACTGTGGTAGAAAAGGGGCTTTATGAAGAAAATAAACATCTTTATTATAATATTAGTCTCAAAATGTGTTGGGAAATGAGGAAGGGAAATTTTTAAATGTGTCATGTGTTCTCACAACCGCTTTATATTTTATAACACATTTATTTGACTCAGGACCTAGACTATATATTTTCACTAAGTACTCTGGGAATTCTCTAACTTACTTTGTTTGTGGAAGCCTGGTCTTTGCCTGTTGTTGGAATAATGAAGAAAGGACATTTTAAGTTCGCTTCCTTTGTTTCCTTTTTTAATTTCTCAAAAGGAGAAAAAGAAAGCATCCCAAAAGATGAAGATTCTTTGGAAGGTTATTTGATACTGAGTTAAAATCACAATATTTAGAAATCATCTGAAAGAAAACAAAACTTCTGAACAGCATTTGATATTCTTTAAAGTTCTAAACAAGAAGGTAAAATAATGACAAAATGTTTATTCAAAGAGATATTTCAAGGGTATTTTCAAAAACCATAAATTAAGCTGTGAATACATTATGTGTGAATTTAACGCTGTGGTGAAAAACATATTCTATTACTTATGAATTGTGTGTGGGGATTCTTTTATTCCTGACCTAGAAGGAGAGTCCCTGGGAAGATAAATTCTGCATGCCACTATATTCCCTCTTTTCTGTGGTCCACTGACTGTTGCCAGAAAGAAGGAAATCTGTGCCTAACACCAAACTCCTCTTCTTATCAACCTTGGCACTTAGTTATTGCATACAGGGCTTGCTAAGAAATATCCAGAACTAAAGTTCACATTTCATCGTTGATTCTCACTGCCCTCTGTTGCCTAGAATATCTTACCGAAAGCATTGCTTATATCTTCCTAACTCTAACAATAATAGAAACAAATTAATGACTTGATCTATGATTATAATATGAATGTGATATAAACTTTCAAATTAGAATGTTCTTAGAATGCACACCATTTTGTTACCTGCAATTTTATTATATACAACACACGCTACTTGTTAACTAGGAAGGATTATTTGGTTTCTTGCTTGTTTCTGTTCCAATTTCCGACCATTTCATCTTGATTTACAAAGCTGTGCATAGTTTGGAAACTGGTTTCTTTAGGGTGGATCGAGAGTAGAACAAAACAGGTCTCTGTGGGAACTTGTCCTGTATGTGATGTGTGAAGCAGTATAAATGGAGACGTTGTACAGCATCCACATGACCAGCAGGCACTACTACAAAATTAAACTTGATTTTCATGTGTTAAGAAATGAATGAGAAAATAAATGAATGAATGAGAATGAACAGTACTTTCACTTAAAAATAATTGCAGAAAGAAAACTGTGTACCTTGTTTTACTGTCTTTTGGCAAACTAGAAAAAGTGAATTCCAGACAACTGAGCAAAGAAAGCCAAATCCTAGTTCTAGGAATCACTCTGCCTGGAGCAAAGGAGATGGCAATCTTACCTTACACCTATGTTTACAACCAACCCTGTTTTGGCAGTTAATTTTAGCATGTCCCTCATGGTAGAAGATAATAGGTTATTTAAGGTTAAGATTTAAGCATGTTCAAATATAAAATCAAAACTTAGTTTTATAAGTACAAAAGCCTTTAAAGATCATTTAGTTTAACAAGCTACTATCCAGATATCTAAAGGAAAAAAATCATCAGTGGAAGATTCCACTGGACTTAAGAATCTTAGCTAAAAAAAGAAAACCTTCTTTATCAATGAATCCTTCTTTTAAAAATTAGAATAGACTTAAGATGTATCAGAAGACACTCCTACTTCACATACACATAGTCTTAAAAACTGTCTAAGCCATTATTAATTCATACAACACATTTTATAGTAAGTGCTGTTATCCCTGTTAAACATTGTTATCCCACAATGCATCAGTGGTAAAATAATACAGCAATCCCCAAAAGAAAACTGGGTGAGGACTACAACCCCAAGAAGGCAGCAAGAGCATATTGTAAATATAACATCTGTATCAATATGCTGATGCTGAAAAGTATTTTATAAAATATAAAGTATCATTTAACAGAAGGAAGGCACTACTGTGTTGGGGGGCAAGAATCTGAATAACATTCAAGAGCAACTAATATAATCTTTCATTAGGATTTTCTGTACATCAAAATTCTTTCAGAAATGCTAAAGGTAAAACAATGGCATATTTTACTTCCCTTCATTAATGGAAAAAAAAAATCAAATTCTCAAGAAAAATGCCAATTCTAATGGCAGCTTAATTTCCATGGAATGGAATGGAATGGCCTTGTTCTCTCCCCTGCCTTACACCAAAATAAGGTATTTGCTGCCAATATAGCTACAACAGTGTTATTTCAGAAAATAGGAATTTTATATTTTAACTATATTTAAAAGTATATATTTTAAAATTTTCTAGTAACACTCCTTTATTCTAAATCTGGTTAGAGGATAAAGGATCTCTGAATTTAGGAGTAAGATATTATATGACTAATAATAATAATGTGAAAATCTGTATTTTAGGTTGTGACTTTCAAATCATAAACTGTATTATTTTAAATCCTTTTAATATGGCTAGAAGATTGTTGGGCATAAAGTATCTTATAAAATAAATACAACCAAAAATAGATGAGGGAGTCAGATTGAGGGAATAATGAGAGTTGGTAGCGAAAATTACAAAGCAGTCAGGAGTACAGCTGGGAAGTGCACTTGCTAGAAATCGGCCACAAGTGAGATGTGAGTTTTCTAGCAGTCAAAAAAACATAAGCTCTGCTCACCTACCTGATTCAATGTCTGTAACATGCCAAAAATCCAGTTCCTCAGAAGCAGCACAACTATTCTTGTCATTGAAACCCAATGTTTCATTTTCCCAAAAAGGACACCATATAATACAGTAAACAATGCTCTCAAAAACATCCTTACAGGGCTTCCCTGGTGGCGCAGTGGTTGAGAGTCAGCCTGCCAATGCAGCGGACGCGGGTTTGTGCCCCGGTCCGGGAAGATCCCACAGGCCGCGGAGCTGCTGGGCCCGTGAGCCATGGCCGCTGAGCCTGCGCATCTGGAGCCTGTGCTCCGCGACGGGAGAGGCCACAACAGTGAGAGGCCCGTGTACCACAAAAAAAAAAAAAAAAAAAATCCTTACAATTCAAAGTATTTCACAGAGCTGTTTTCTACCCTAGTTCTCAAAGTAGGCCGGTGTTATAGCATGCCAAACACAATGTAGTAAAAAAGTTATTTTCGGGTGTGCAAAGTAGATACAGAGGCCTGATATTCATAAGATCTATAGAAATGCACTGCAAATCATAAGGCCATCTTCAATAAATACTTTCTCCCAAATGAGTTCTAAAAACATTCACCTCTATTACGAAAAATTCAAACATGCAGAAAAAAGTTAAAACAATAATACTAACGCATAGCCATATACACTATCTAGAGACAACTGTTAACATTTTATGTGTATGTACACTTAAAATAAGTTGCAAACATCGAGACACTTCACCTGTCAATCATACATACCCTGGAAATAGACTTTCTCCTACTTAACCACAATACCATTACCACACCTCAGAAAAATGAAAAATAATTCTCTAATATCATTGAATGTAGCCCGTCTACACTGAAATGTCCTCAACTGCTCCCCTGCCCCCCCAAATCAGTATTCAAGTTCAGTTTGTTATCTCTCTTTTGATCTAGAAGGGTTTTCCCCATTTACCCTCTAGTACACTGATTTTTTTTCAATTATTTTTTAAAAAATTTTTATTGGAGTATTGTTGATTTACCATGTTGTGTTAATTTCAGGTATACAGCAAAGTGAATCAGTTATACATGTACACTGATGTTTTTGAAAATACCCGGCAAGTTGTCTTTGAGAATATTCCACATTCTGTATTTGTAAGATTGTTTTCTCTTGGTGTAATTTAACTCATTGCTTTATGTCCTATAGTTCTGCAAGGTGGAAGTTAGGTTTAAAGCCTTGATTAGATCCAGGTTTAAGATTTTTTTGACAAG